GGCATTCCTTTGGTTTTTAGCTCCATCTATCTTGTAAGGAATCAAATTGGCCAAATTCTTCTCCAGCATTTAACATTAGGAGTCCCCACGATTACCCAACACATACTGGGTATGGGTACTTATCCAGTATGTGTTGATTTTAGGAGTACCCATGCTTCAGAGGTTAAGATGGAAGAACTAGAATTCCAACTTTCTTTTCCAACATGTTCTGTAGTATTTACTATTGAACCATTTTCTGATTATGGGGTGTCTGTTGATGCTTTCAACCAGATGAAAATTGTGGGACGTACTGCTTGCTACCTGAGCCAATCTTGTTAGCTTATTTAAAATAAAGTTGCATTTTCCATGAAAAATAAGCAATCATATTTCAATGCTTTTATAGTGTGCATATCAGATAGACTTAATCTTGGTTGGCTAGCACAAAAATACCCTTACCATACAATCTAATATGTTTAGAGATATTTCAATTTTTTTTGTGGGTTTTAGAACTTTATTTTACCATATTCCTTTTGTTTATGAATGTCTCTCTAGTTGCTTGATTATGCATACATTTTATTAGAGGTAATTAATTCTGTTGGTTTATTTAAGTTGTGAAACTCTCTGCTATGTAGGCTACTGCTGCCAATCCTGCGGTTGGTTCCCAAGTTTGGGTGGAGGATTCTCAAGTAGCTTGGATAGATGGTGAGGTCTTGGAGGTTAAGGGGGAAGAAATCAAAGTCCTTTGTACTTCAGGGAAGACGGTGAGGATGCTCAGTATCATATTTATTAAAATTAAATCCTATTCTTCACCATTTTCTTGTCCTGTAAATCTATCAGTTTTGCTTTGAGTGCTTCAAACATGAATCAATAGTGGGAATCTTTAAGAGAAGCAGAATAAACATAGGGTAGCTTAGTGCTTGCAGTATCCTGTAGTTAATTTGGTGTACTAGGCATAAATTTTTGAAGTCAACTCAGAATCCATAACTTGGAACAGTCTGACATTTTGACATTGTGAATCATTGCCTTTATCTTGAAATTTGCAGGTTGTTGTTAAATCTTCTAGTGTTTATCATAAAGATACTGAAGCCCCACCATGTGGAGTGGATGACATGACAAAGCTTGCTTATTTACATGAACCTGGTGTCCTGGATAATCTGAGATCAAGATATGATATCAATGAAATTTATGTGTGTATTTCAGATTCCAACTTTCCAAATAGGCCCCCTTTTATCTTAATGTTTTTATACTTGCTTGAGATGAGCTCATACCAAATTTTGTTTCCAGACATACACCGGGAATATATTGATTGCTGTGAATCCTTTCATAAAGCTTCCTCATTTATACGATAGCCATATGATGGCACAATATAAAGGAGCAGGTTTTGGTGAGCTAAGTCCACATCCTTTTGCTGTTGCAGATGCAGCATATAGGTATTTTCATTCTATTGTGCAAACAGTACATTTAATTAAATTGCAAGTCTGACCATATAAATTATTATGGCTTTAGACTCATGATTAATGAGGGAATCAGCCAGTCAATATTGGTTAGTGGTGAAAGTGGGGCTGGGAAAACAGAAAGCACAAAGTTACTTATGCGCTATCTTGCTTACATGGGAGGGAGAGTTAACAGTGCTGCTGAAGGTAGAACTGTAGAACAGAAAGTCCTGGAGGTAAGGAAGTTAATCCTTTATAGATTTGTCTTCTGGCTAGCTGGCTTTCTGCCATAAGTTAATTTATTTTGTTTTTTCACCTTTTGCCAGTGTTTAAATTTGTTAAAACCTTACCTTGTTTCCACTTAGCCGCCCTTTTTTTTCCTTTTCCCCATGACAGTCCAATCCTGTTCTAGAAGCCTTTGGCAATGCAAAGACTGTTAGAAACAATAATTCAAGGTGAGAGGTTATACTTATAGTAAGTTCTTCCCCCTTTTTTGGTTATATTGCAAAATTTTGCTACTGTCTTATTTTTCCTATTTTGTCACTTGTGACTTTTGTAGTCGTTTTGGTAAGTTTGTGGAGATTCAATTTGACCAGAAGGGAAGAATTTCTGGGGCTGCTATCAGAACTTATCTGCTGGAAAGATCACGTGTTTGCCAGGTGTCAGATCCAGAGAGGAACTATCATTGTTTCTACATGCTCTGTGCTGCACCTCCAGAGGTGATTGGATGTCTTTTGCGACTTAGTGTAGAGTCTAGATTAGATTGATAGAAAGATTTGAAAGGATTAATTTGTTATGCCTACAATAATTTTTTCTGGATTGAATTATAAACTGGAGCAACTTACCAATAAACTGTCTGACAATTGACCTATATAATGGTGGTAGAATAAGAGTTAATATCTTTTCCATTTGTCACCTCTATTTATTTTTCCAATTTCTTATTGTTTTGGTGTATGATGTATCCTTTTATGGCTTAATTATAATATGCATTACTTGTTAATATTAAGTTTGTGCTTAACTTCTTCAGATTCTATTTTCTTCATTTTCTTTACCTTATTTATTTATTTTTGGCAGGATATTCAGAAGTATAAATTAGGAAATCCTAGAGGATTTCATTATCTGAATCAATCAAATTGCTTTGAGTTGGAAGGGGTTGATGAGTTAAAAGAATACCGTGATACTAGGAGAGCAATGGATGTTGTTGGAATAAGTTCTGACGAGCAGGTATTTTATTGGGAGTTTCTTTAAATTCGTGAATAGATTTTCACAATGCTTATGATTTTTTGTTTTCCCCTCCATCACTGTCCAGGAAGCAATATTTCGAGTGGTTGCTGCAATTTTGCATCTTGGTAACATTGAATTTACAAAAGGGGAAGAAATTGACTCTTCTGTGCCCAAAGATGAAAAATCTTGGTTGCATCTACACACTGCTGCTGAACTTTTCATGTGAGAAAACTTTGCAAGCTTGCACTTTTTAAAATATATTCTCTTTGTATGACTAACATCTCATACCTTTCCACGTGACATCCTTGGTTTATATTTTATTCAGGTGTGATGCCAAGGCTCTTGAAGATTCTCTGTGCAAGCGTGTAATTGTTACTCGTGATGAGACTATAACAAAATGGCTGGATCCAGAAGCTGCTGCACTCAGCCGAGATGCTTTGGCTAAGATTGTGTACACAAGGTTGTTTGATTGGTAAGCCTCTGAATGGATTGCTTGAAGATAAAATTCGAAGCTTAAGATAGGTTTAATGGTAAATTTCGTCAATTTGCTCTTAGTTCCACTTCTATAATTTTTTGTCATATTTTGCAGGCTGGTGGATAAAATTAATAATTCAATTGGTCAAGACCCTGACTCAAAGTCCTTAATTGGTGTGCTGGATATTTATGGTTTTGAGAGTTTCAAGACTAACAGGTGTGTTACTGGTGTACCTTTTGTTCTGTAGCTAACTCGTGTTAGGTTGATCTCATAGAGTTAACATACGAGAAAGGGTTGTATGAAGTTAAATTTGTAATCCACCCCATGCCTTTAATTGCCATTGTGACCTCCAAACAATGGAGAGGAACGTTCTTTTATCATATTGCACCACTCCATTTAAAAACACTCCATTATGAATCAGTCTACTTCATCCCCTTAAAATATCCTAAGCATATTGCTGATTAAATTGAATTCTACTGAAATTTTGTTGCCTTGTCAGTAGTGACAGACCGATAGTCTATAGATATTTTATTAATACCTGTTTGTTCTGTGTACATTGCAGTTTTGAGCAATTTTGTATCAATTTGACCAATGAAAAGCTTCAGCAGCATTTTAATCAGGTTAGTTTGTAAAAGAATATTATATTCTTGATGATTGCTTGCTTCCATCTCTTACTTTTATATTTAAAAAACAGACACGAGGATACTTATTTACTTTTACTCATTTTACACGTGCTCCTGAAATGCCTAAAATACTTGATCTGCAGCATGTTTTCAAAATGGAGCAAGAAGAATACAAAAAAGAGGAGATTGATTGGAGTTACATTGAGTTTGTTGATAATCAAGATGTTCTGGATCTCATTGAAAAGGTTTTTCCTTCTCATTCCACAAGCATTCTGTTGATTGGCTTTATCTCTTGTACCAATCTTTTATATTAGATGCTCCTTTCTGTTGAAAATACAAATTTAATGTGAAGGGTGATGTTTATAAATTTGGTAGGTTCTCAAGCCCACTGTAATATGTGTAGTTGTAGATAAAAGTGACTAGCTTTCATGGTGGTTTGTGGAAGAGGGATGTTGTGGCATCAAGAATATTTTCCTTTATCACTAGATGGTGACTTAAATGATTCTGTAGCTTCATTTTCACCATAAAACAAGTCTTGGCCTGCACTAGTATGCCTATCATTTTTTTAATTATTAAAGGGAGGCCAAATAAGAATTTAACTTGTTTAAGAATTTGAAAATTTCAAATAATTTTACATTGGCAATAACATCTTAATTTTTTAGGAGTTATAAAATTTTAAATGACTACTCACTATAACTTATGTTTCCCTTTTCTAATAATTTTTTATTTCATTTTGAAGAATACTAATAAAGATAGTGCTTAAAAGATAGTTGTAGCTTCATTTTACTGTTAACTAAATGAAGGTGCTTTCGAGAAAGTATGCTTTAATGTTTGTCTTAGAAAGTGGGTTTAAGTCTAACTCAATCTTACAAATCTGGCTTCTAAAGTGGGAGTTGTTCTCATTTATATGTTTTTTAATTACTTTATCTCTAATTAATATGAGACTTGGATTTTTTTCAATACACCCTCTCACGTCCAACATTATTGGACTTAGTACGTGGATAAATGGTGTGTGAAACCTTTTTAATGATCTAGGATAGACGGAACTTGGGCAATACATCCCCTCACGTCCAAAACTGTTAGGTTTGGTGCGTGTATCAGTAGTAGGTGACCCTTTTAGAGTGTATCTATGATAGCTATAATACCATTTTAGAAGGTGGGTTTAGGCCTAATTCAACTTAACAAAATCGCCTTGTAAGGTGAGGGTTGTCCTCACTTGTATACTCTTTAATTGTCTTTATCTATTGGGGGACAGGGAATTTGGGTTGAGGGCCAAGTTAGAGTAATTTAGTGTTCCCTCCATGCCTTTTATGGATGTTGCACAACACAAATTAGTTTGACAAGGAAAGTAAACCTAGGCTTTTAATTTCTCTTCCCATAAATGTTCAAAATGGAGGGCATATTTTGAAAATCACAGTTGATATGATTTAAGTGATCAATTCAAACTCAAGCTGCTGATATTTACCTGATGTCAAATGATTGACTTAAAAAGGGTCTGATTCATTTCTCTTGATGGTTCAAAATGAAAATGTTGAAGTTGTCAATTAATTCAATTTATGTCTATCAAGAGACTAGGTTTTGATGACAAGTTTGATATAAAAGCTGAAAGGAAAATATGAATACATTGAAATTATATATGCAAGCTGTGTGTGGATGAATTGATGTTAATACTTTGTCAATTTTTATTGATGATTTTGTGATTTTCTTTACTTGTTGATAACATAATCATGTTTGTAATGTATTTTGTCATCAGTGGATTTATTATTTATCAATTTTTTGCTGCATTATTTTCAGAAACCTGGTGGCATTGTTGCTCTTCTTGATGAAGCTTGGTAAGTATACTTTGTACTGTACCTTTAATTGGTATTATGGGTCTTAATATCTCAATACTGCTGATTTAATGCATTCATTTTATTCTTCCATATTTTTTGTTGTTGATGCTCAGATAGCTATATGTGTATGCGTTTTGCAGTATGTTTCCTAGATCAACACATGAAACCTTTGCCCAAAAGCTGTATCAGACATTCAAAAATCATAAAAGATTCAGCAAGCCCAAATTGTCACGTAGTGACTTCACAATTTGCCATTATGCGGGTGATGTAAGTTGGAATATTATTATTTTTTAAATCAGCATATATAATTGGGCTAGTTACTTGGTGTAAATAGGACTACATTGTTTGATGCGATCAATTTATACTTTAGAAAACACATGCCTAATCTGTGTCAATTTTAGGTCACTTATCAAACTGAATTATTCCTGGACAAGAACAAAGATTATGTTGTTGCGGAACACCAAGCTCTTCTTTATGCTTCCAAATGTCCCTTTGTGTCTGGTTTGTTCCCCCCTTCACCCGAGGAATCGTCTAAACAATCAAAGTTCTCTTCAATAGGTTCCCGGTTTAAGGTTGTTTTTATTCCCCTTTATTAAAGACACTTTTCCGTTTCTTCCTTAACATCTTTAGTTTTGAAATTCTTCATGTTTCCTGCAGCAACAATTGCAAGCACTACTGGAAACTCTCAGTGCCACTGAGCCCCACTACATTCGCTGTGTTAAACCTAATAATCTTCTTAAGCCAGCAATTTTTGAGAATAAAAATGTTTTGCAGCAACTGCGATGTGGGGTAAGACTTCATGCTCTTTTTTCCAGTTTTTGGACCATGTAGTTGGTACCGCAATTGAAGTTTTAATCTCTGGTTGTGAGTACATTGCTGATTACATAGTTTATCCAATTGTAGGGAGTTATGGAGGCAATTAGGATAAGCTGTGCTGGTTTTCCAACCAGGAAAACTTTTGATGAATTTGCAGATCGATTTGGACTTCTTGCTCCTGAAGCTTTGGACGGGAGGTATCTAAGCTGTTAATCTTCATTGTCAGGCCTATTAGTTACAGTATTCTAAAAACCCTGATTTATTTCATGTTTTACTTATGTTAGTTCTGATGAGGTCACTGCTTGCAAGAGGATTCTGGAAAAGGTTGGACTTAAGGGCTATCAGGTAACTTACCAAGTGATCAGACCATTAATTCTTTTGATAGACTTACTCTTCAATTTGAACAATCAATGGAGTTTAGGGTATATTTGTTTTTGAAATGGGCCATAACAGTTTTTAATCTATTAACTTAGAATCACTTGGATAAGAAAATTGCTATTTACTCGGTATTCTTCATTGACCTGAGTAATGGTAAAACTTCCTAATCTTTATTCTCCTAAGTTCTATTAATGTTTTACACTTATTGGAAACTGATAACATACTAGTTATTTTGGTCTAATTTGTCACTGCTTTGGAGTTTTTGCTTGGAACAACAATAGCCTTTCCATGCATCTTTCTCCCTTTACTACCATTCTGTGGACAATAATCTTGAAAGTACAGTTTTAGTTTAGGAATGGAAACTATTTTATATCTTTTTCAAGTGTGTAATGAACTCAAATTGCTATTTATGCTCATCTGTGCTCACTACCCTGAATGTTTACTGTTAAATGAGGTTACTGCAGATTTTCTTTACAAGACTATATTCAGTTTTGTGGCTAATTTTACTGGTTCTCTTTATTGCTGCAGATTGGTAAAACAAAAGTGTTTCTTCGAGCTGGTCAAATGGCAGATCTAGATACTCGTAGAAGTGAGATTTTAGGAAAGTCAGCAAGCATTATTCAGAGGAAAGTGCGTACCTATTTGGCCCGCCGAAGTTTTGTCTTGATACGTTTGTCTGCTATACAGATTCAAGCTGCATGTAGAGGTATCTAATTGTTCCCTTGAAATATTAGCTACAAGTCATATTCAGGGAAAAGCTTACATTGTGGGAGTTTGATGAGTTTTTTGATGGTGATTGCAGCACAACTTGCTCGGCAAGTTTATGAGGGATTGCAACGGGAGGCTTCTAGTCTGATGATTCAGAGGTATTTCCGCATGCATGTTTCTAGGAAGACATATAAAGAATTGTATATCTCGGCTGTTTCTATTCAAACTGGTCTGCGAGGGATGGCTGCTCGTAGCGAGCTTCGCTTCAGGAAGCAAACTAGTGCTGCTACTGTCATTCAGGTAGAGAACATTTTGAAAATACTTCAGTGTAGTATGTTTTAGAATATTTTTAGCATTCTTATGGTCCAACTCCAAAGTCCAAGTATCCTATACAAAATCATTGTTAACAAGCTTGGTTTTTAATATATTTTTGATTCATGGTTATTCATCCTTGAAACTGTGATTGATTTGTTATTGCAGAGCCACTGCCGGAAATACCTGGCACAACATCATTTTACAAACTTAAAGAAGGCAGCAATTACAACACAATGTGCATGGAGAGGAAAAGTTGCTCGACAAGAATTAAGAAAGCTCAAGATGGTAACACTTCTCTCCCTCCCCACCTATAAAAAAACCATTGAATCAATCAATTAAATGTTTTTACCTTTTCAGTAATATGGTAAGTTTATAAAAGTTACTAAGTGATAAATAAGAATAAAATATCAGAAGGAAAAACTGTCAAGCTTATATGTCTAGCAGTGGTATTCATAAGAGCTGTAGTAAGGTTCCCCTTCTTATTTCAAGCTCACCCATATACATTGTAGCACTGCATGAATCTCAGCACTTAAATAGCTTTATTAGCTTGCATTAAATCTCAGCTGAAGCTGGCAACATTTTGACTGTAAAGAACTACTGTGAAGTCTGTGATTACTCTTCTAGCTTTGCTGTGATATTGTATTTTGGATTCCATAATAAAAACTGCCTATATTTTCACTCATGTGGTATTTGGTCTTAGAGTAACTGATGCTATCTCTCTTTTTTTTTTTGACCCATCATATTTGTGATATTGATAATTATCTCCATTATTCGAAATAGATACCTTAGAAAAGTGTTTCTGCCATAAACCACAATGTTGCGGACAAAATGCTGTCAAATTTTTTGCTTAGTAGAGATATCTCTAAGATCTATATACGCAAAACCTTACAGGTTGTTGTAACCTAGTTTTGCATTTTATTCAATTTTCTGTTTTGGGTTTCTAATTAAAAGAACATGAAACTTTATTTAGACGTTTTCATGGAGGCATATCCTAGGATGCTTTGAACTTATTATGGGCTGTAGGGGCTACAGCCAAGAAGGAAATAAACAGTCTACCCTAAACCGTTTATCATAAACATTTTATTATTTTTTTTAAAATAATAGGTTAAAAAATTATTTTTGATTGATATAATTTTTTTAAAATAATTGTTTTTTTTTGCTCTCCCTTTTCTGTTCATCCAAACAAATGGAAATAAACTTTTCCACTCCTTTCTTTCTTATTTCTATCTGTCCAAACAATGCATTGTTTCAACATTCTTTCCTCTCTATTGCATTTTAAATCCAAACAAAAAATCTCTTACTGTCTTCTTGCATGTTATGATGGCTAGCTATTTTATTTTTATTTTTACTCAGCAGTTGAGATTTTTTTATTAATTTCAGGCTGCAAGAGAAACTGGAGCTCTCCAAGCTGCCAAAAACAAGCTTGAAAAGCAAGTTGAAGACCTTACATTGAGATTGCAGCTGGAAAAACGCTTGAGGGTAAATGACCATTATTTTGGTAGTGCTAGCTGCTATATCTACAATATTTTTACTGTGGCCAATGGGCAATCATCATGCATTATGTTGTAGTACAAGTGTACAATACTTGTTTTAGTATAAGTGTACAATACTTGTTTTAGTGCACACCAATTAATTTGAGTTAAATGTTGTAGTACAAGTGTACAACCTGTTAGCTCTGTACAATACTTGTTTTAGAAACTTTAATTGGCGGTTTGTACCTAATTTGTATACTTGATGAAAAGATATTTTTCATACTCATGCACATTATCTAGTATCTTTCCTTGCAAAGCTTCTTAAATCTCTATTAATAAATGTAGGTCGACATTGAAGAATCAAAAACACATGAAAATGAAAAATTACAATCTGCTTTGCAAGAGATGCAACTTCAGTTTAAAGAAACTAAGTTATTACTTCAAAAGGAGCGTGAGGCTGCAAAAAGAGAAGCAGAGAGAGCGCCTCTCATACAGGAGGTTCCTGTTGTTGACCATTCTTTGTTGGAGAAGCTTACTAGTGAAAATGAGAAGCTCAAGGTGAGCTAATTATGGTCATAAATATCTCCTCTGCATTAAAATAGTCATCCTTTTTTTTTTGTTTACTTTGAAATATTCTCACATTTTTGGTAAGATAGGTGGCCATTTCCTACTATTAATTTTGATCTTCCTGGTGTCCATTGCAGACCTTGGTGAGTTCATTGGAAAAGAAAATTGATGAAACAGAAAAAAGATATGAAGAGGCAAACAAAATTAGTGAAGAAAGGTTGAAGCAAACTTTAGATGCTGAAACAAAAATAATCCAGTTGAAGACTGCTATGCAAAGGTTTGTTTGTGATCAAAGCTTCTTTGGTATCTTATACATGTTTAATTCATATCATTTGAACTATTACTATTTTCAGTCTTCGAACAGAAATCATCCATAGCTTCTATTTTCAGTTATAAGATTCTGCACCAGCATGACCATTTTTGCTTTGATTAATATTGGTAGGCTCGAAGATAAATTCTCAGATATGGAATCTGAAAATCAGGTTCTTCGGCAACAGTCTCTGCTAAACTCATCTGCAAAAACAATGTCAGAACACCTTTCTACCCACGTATCCGAGGTAATTTGTACTTGTTAAATTATGTAGGTCTTCATTCTCTTTATGCAAGTCTAACTGTTGGAATTTTTTATACTTGTACCTGTAGAAGTTGGAAAATGGTCACCACATGGTGGAAGATCAGAAAGCTGCAGTAAGTACATTGCTTTCTACACTTTCTATGTACCTTTCCATATGAAGCCATCTTATGTTTTAACTGAAATTTAAAAAGTTGTGTTTGCAGGAAGCAGAGAGTGTCACACCTGTGAAGAAGTTTGGTACAGACTCTGATGGCAAATTGAGGAGATCCATGATTGAACGTCAACATGTGTGTGCTTAAAATTTGACATTTAATATATCTGTTCTTCGTGCAAATGTGTTCACAATTTTTAACTCTTTTTTCACTGTAGGAGAATGTTGATGCACTTGTCAACTGTGTTATGAAAAGTATTGGTTTCCATCACGGAAAGCCTGTTGCTGCATTTACCATTTACAAATGTCTTCTCCACTGGAAATCATTTGAAGCTGAAAGAACAAGTGTATTTGATCGCCTTATCCAGATGATTGGTTCTGCAATTGAGGTTTCTTTCCTACTTTAATATTTTTGGATTGAACCTTCACCTAATAGCTTAAGCTTTTAGGAAAATTGATCCTTAATATGATTAGGGTCTTCTACAAATCCTTGCCATGCTCCATCCCATTATTGCACTGGTTATTCTAATTTAGAATATTCAAAAAATATTGTATATGTGGTAGTCTAATGTAATTTAATGGTCATTATCTGTTGATAGCAACTGTATTAGAATTGGGACTGGGTATTGTTTGTTGGTTTAGTTCAATTCTTGTTGCATGTGTTGAGATCTCATGTTGACTATAAATATGGCCAAAGTATAATTTATAAAGGATTGGGCAATCCTCATCTCAAGCTAGCTTTCGGGGTTAGGCCTGGCCCAAATTTAAGATGGTGACAAAGTCTATAATAGATTCATTATTGGGCCAACCTCAACTGTTCAAAAATCTACTTGACTCCATGATTTTCCTATAGCAGTGTACTTGGCCCCGTGAATTTCCTTGTGCAATAATAATAATAATAATAGAGGATGTCCCACAATCTCCATGCTCCAAATGTGAAATCCTAGGCGTGAGAGAGTGTATTGAATCCCACATAAACTATAGGTATAGCAAAAGTATAACATAAAGGCTGGGAAATCCTCACCTCTTTAGCTAGATCTTGGTGTTGAGTTAGGCCTAACCCAAATTCAAGATAATGATATATGTTAAAAGTAATATGAATACAATTGCAGGTTTTAATGTTGCTTTTGCCCAAAGGTAGTTGGTGGTTTAATTGTTATATTTATCCCTCCAGCCATTTTTCTTCAAGAGCTTACAAACCCATTTTCATAAACATTTGTTGAACAGAGAATTATTTTGTAGCTTATGTGGTCTTATTGGAGCGCTTGTAACTTTTTGTATTTCTTCTCAATCTTTCCAGAATCAAGATGACAATAATCTTATGGCCTATTGGCTGTCAAATTTGTCTGCACTATTGTTTTTGCTCCAGCAAAGTCTGAAATCTGGTGGTGCAACTGATGCAACTCCTGTCAAAAAACCACCAAATCCGACATCCCTCTTTGGAAGAATGACTATGGTATTGAATATTCCTTGCATTCTTTGTAATCTGATCTCCCTTTCACACTTAAAAAAAAGGTGCCTTAATTTATTTGATGGCTTAATTGCAGGGTTTTCGTTCATCTCCTTCTTCTGCCAGCCTTCCTACCCCACCGTCGGATGTTGTACGCAAGGTAGAAGCTAAATATCCTGCTTTGCTTTTCAAGCAACAGCTCACTGCTTATGTTGAGAAAATATACGGTATCCTTCGGGACAACTTGAAGAAAGAATTGTCATCATTGCTTTCGTCATGTATCCAGGTTTGTTGAAATGCAATTAATTGTAGTGAATTTATTATTATGGGATGGATAAAGTTAAATACAAGGTCTTAAATCCCGTTTGGTTCTCATAGTCTGTATATTCTATCTCCCTTCTGGAGATATTTTCTAGAGATTTCTGAAAGTGTTCTGAGTCTCTTTTTCTACTTTTAGTCACGTGATTTTGCTTCTGTTCCTGATGCAAATATTATTGCTGATATACAGGCACCAAGAACATCTAAGGGAGTGCTACGATCTGGCCGGTCCTTTGGTAAAGATTCTCCCATGGGTCACTGGCAGAGTATTATAGAATCCCTAAACACTCTCCTTTGTACTCTGAAAGAGAACTTTGTAAGAAACAAAACCATGCCTTATTATCTTGTGAATATTAAGAAATTACTTCCCTGTTAGCCTTATTTATGCTAATTTTGAAAAACTGATTAAACATGATGATGATGTAGGATACTTCAGGAAACCCTAAATAAACAACAGAATCTAATAACCCAATGTACATTGCATGATATAATGATATAAAGTTTTGGGTTTCAGGTACCTCCAGTCCTTATACAAAAGATCTTCACTCAAACATTCTCATATATTAATGTTCAACTCTTCAATAGGTAAGCAGTTTTTAATACCATAGAATAATTTTTTTGCATCATTATCTTTGTTGAGAGGAAGAAGAATGAGAGATCATGTGATGTGAATGAATCCATGTCTCTTGACTTTTGACTGTACAGCAGAGACTCTTATATATAGTTAGAGTTACAAATACAATGGATAATAAATACATAATTATACAGCTCATAATATCCCTAATTACAATATTTCCATACACAATATATAACATAATTACAAGATTCCTAACAATCTTAAAGTTTAACATTATTTTTTTTATCAAATTATTGCTAGTCTTCTTCTGCGTCGTGATTGTTGCACATTCAGCAATGGGGAATATGTGAAAGCTGGTTTAGCAGAATTGGAGTTGTGGTGCTGCCAAGCAAAAGAGGAGGTAATTTATTGTGTTGAGGGTATTATTGTGTTAGGTTTTCAATTAGTGCATATATTGCTTAGGCTGTAATAAAATATGTTGATGACCTATGTCCGATCTCTTTGGCTTGTTGACCAGTGTATATCTCCAAAGTCTAACCTAAATTGCTTGGGCTTGCAGTATGCAGGTTCATCTTGGGATGAGCTTAAGCACATAAGACAAGCTGTTGGATTCTTGGTAAGTGTGTCTTATTTGATAATATAGCATCATTTATCTTCCCTTGCTGTTTTTTTTGTTGGTAATTTTGGTAATAATTGCTGGTTTTCTATGCATCATGTTTTGTTTTGTCTTACTACATTTATTTTAATCTGAGAATTTCATGATTAGGTTTTCTCATGTAGGATAAATTGCACCCAATTCCTCATTTGATCAAGGATTGTACTTAGTCATTTAACATCTTTTACAGAAAAATGCATTATTTATTTGTTTTAGAAGAAAGTCAAACTCAAACAAATTTCTGTAAAACTCATTAGATCATATGTTGAACTTAAACAGGTTCCTAAATTACTACTAACAATGATATTTATGAGAAAGGAGTTTGCAAAACATCAATCCAAGCCTACTTCGATAATTCTCAAACCTATACATTTATGCAATCTTTTTTTATTAGACTGGACAACGGAAAATTAGAAGCCCCGGAAAATATTAGTTCATAAGCAACTGTTATTGGTATTAATTTCAAAAGATAAACATATTGTCATCCTCCAATGATGGGAAGTTGTTTGACTCCCAATGTAGAAGAAAATAATGTAACCACATTTTATTTTCCTTGATAGCATAAAACCTTCATGATTTATGTGTTGGTTAGTATTTGGTAAATATGCATCTTTGATTGCTTGGTAAACTAATCTTGGTTATAGCTTCTACCTTTGTGAATGTTGGAAATTTGCCTTAATTGCAGTCTCTTTGGGGCTGCCTTAATTGCAGTCTTGAGAGGTTGTGTTTAGTCTTACATTAACTAGACATATGGCCAACTTGGGCAATCCTATTCCTTACCTTACAAGCCTCTTAAATCCGTTGTTTGGTCATCTACATTGCCACGGTCCAAACCTATAGCTATGTGCATGAGGTTTGTTTATAAGGCTTGGATAGTCTTCACCTTACAAGTTGGTTTTCTGAAGACGAGTTCGGTTTTAACCCAAATTCAAGAGTGAAGATTTGTCTTAATCATAAAACAATGTGAAGATTTGTTCTATTTTTCTTAATAACTTTTTATATGATGTGACCAAAATTCAATTTGTCTTAATCACATCTATTCATTTAATTATTGTCATTTTTTATGCACAGGTTATTCATCAGAAGTATAGGATTTCCTACGATGAAATCATAAATGATTTATGCCCAGTAAGTGTCTGTCCATCTCAGTCTTTCTTTGTGTATGGGGTACACATCTCATTGTTATTTATTTTTAAATACTCATAAGGTCCTATCTTTGATAGCATAATGGATTGTTGTAAAGCAGAATTTTTGTGATGAGTCTTGAAATGATCATGTGTTCAAATTTGGTTTCTTTTGTATTTACATTATGAATTCATGTTTCTGGAAGTAGCAGTTGAGGAGATTGCCTTGATTGTTTATCACCTTACGTTAAACTTTGAAAGTGTGTGAAGCTACTGCCCGGACTGAATTTCAATTTAATTTATGTTTCTATTTTGTCCTAAGAGGATGGGTTGGAAGGAGATTAAGGAGATTTATAAAAATGGTTTGAAAAAATATTTTTATTTTCATTTCTTGTTTCTTACTTCTAATTAGAAAAATGTTTCCTTGCTTTTTTTCTCTCCTGTTTTCAAAGATTTGTACAGAAAATAGTGAAAGAAATTAAAAAATTAAATCAAAAACATTTTTAAACCAAATAGGCCATTGTATATGAATGATTGTAAATGCATAATGTCTTGCTTTTGCATTCACTCTCTGCGTAAGCATGTCTTTCAAGTCCATATGTCTCATAGCTTTTCCCTATGTCCCCGCCCCTATCTTGCATCAGGTCATGAGTGTCCAGCAGTTGTACAGAATATGTACACTTTACTGGGATGCTAACTACAATACTCGAAGTGTATCTCCAGATGTAAGCTTTTCCCCCCACCATATTTTCTCTGATTATAGCAAAAGTAATGGCAAATGCTTGATAACATACTCAAATCTTCCTCCAGGTCCTTTTAAGCATGAAGGTTCTTATGACAGAGGACTCTAATAATGCTCAGAGTGATTCTTTCTTGTTGGATGACAGTTCCAGGTGAGAGTGCTTGTATATGGAATGCCTTTAGTGGCGCTTTAATAGCATAACATGCCTTTTGAGCTTTGGAATCACCGAACCAGAGAGTGGAAACATTATCTGTCACCATAAGGGATAGAGGAAAATTGATATACGTAATTTTTTTGTTGTTTAACATGTGCAAGGGTAGATGCCTAGATGGAACTTAAATTATATGATCTATAAATTATTGGTCAACTTCTAGTGCAATTCTTCAATCATTATTTTTTATTTCTAAGTTGAGATTAATGGCTACATGTTTACGGACCTTCACTTCTTTTTACAGTATCCCCTTCTCAGTGGATGACCTCTCTACATCACTACAAGAGAAGGATTTCTCAGACATGAAACCAGCGGATGAGCTGCTCGAGAATCCTGCCTTCATATTTTTAAATGAGTAGGCAAGGAAACTCGGTATGTGTTTATCATAGTCGTCAAGGGAAGCAACAAAATCAGTTGCTAGTCCTTGTCAGTGGTTGTAAATCCATTTTTATTTTTATTTTTATTCTTTTTTATTTCTACTCTTTTTTTTTTTTGTTTTTGATTTACCATCCTACATCTTGTTTGTCATATCCCTGCATTGTCATGGCCCTGATGTAAAATTATTTTTTCATTCTTTCGTTGGCATTCAATTGTAAAGTCGTCATTTAAAGAGGGGCAGGGATATTTTTTTAGGATTAGTGATCTTGCTTTGTATGTCCATTTTTGTTTTCCTGGTCAGAAAACCGTTAGAAAGTGAAGCTGAGCTGCTTGCAATTTTGTTTTGGCTTTCAAGCTCACTTTCCTCTCATTTTTTTACAGTGTAAAGGGTCAAGAATGAACATTGATATATATATATATATATATATATATATA